GAAGAAGAAGAAGAAGAAGAAGAAGAAGAAGAAGAAGAAGAAGAAGAAGAAGAAGAAGAAGAAGAAGAAGAAGAAGAAGAAGAAGAAGAAGAAGAAGAAGAAGAAGAAAAAGAACATGGGCTTTGGAGGTGATAGCAATCCCTTCCTCAGAGGCAGGCTGAGAGGATTTACTGAGTGCGCACAAATATTTATACAGTGATCCTGGTGTGCAGCGGAGACATACATGGTGACTGTCATGCATCATTCTTCCTTCAAGGAGAGAAAGCCTCAGGCCATGACACACAGTCAAATGACATGGAGGGCAGAACTCGTGGAGGGCTCAGCCCTTTATCAAGCACCAAACACCAAGGCTCAGTAAATTGCATGTTAGTGCATGGGAAAACCACTTGCTTACTTGCACTGAAATAAAAAGCAAAATTGTATAGATTTTACATTTTCTTATAGTAATCAAGTTTCTCTTTTTATCAACTGTGATTTACAAGTGGATTCCTTTGTACTCCAAATCTTCAAGCATCTTTCTGCTCCTTTAATGAAGGGGCGGTATCGGAAGTTAAGGGTGTAAAGTAGTAACTGAAGTCCTCCTATAGCTGTTCATCTGATGGAAAAGTAGGTAAGGGTTAGGTTGGGGAAGAGAACATGGGCTTTTTCTTCTTTCTGCTAAAACGCTGGTACTCATGAAGAGTTTCGTTCATGCCTAGTTCTGCCCTCTGTTATGGGGTTTGGATGCTGTCTCCCTCACTGATAATGTAGAATGGGCCAGATGGTTAAAGAGCACAGGAACCACTCCTGCAAAGAGCACTGACAAAGGCAAAGTGCTTCCACAACCTCCAGGCTCTCAGAAAAGGCTGATGGAGAGATGTTGTTGGGTCACTTGTGAGAGGAAGTGGTGGTAAGGCATCCATCATTCTGCGGGCAGCATGGGCCAAGAGGCTGCACAGAGGCAGCGGCAGCCTGTGTCAGAGCCCAGAAGGATCTGGTGGAGGAAGCAGCAGGCAGTCACTTATTGCTCATTAATATTATGTACTGCAGCCTGGAGACTCCCATTTCAAAGGGAGCTCAGAGCAGCCTCAGCAGCAGTTAATGGCTCAACAACTTTTTAAACAGTTGGGGAGGTGATCTGGAAGTGCTCGGAGATGGAGGGGTAGTCGGTTTCAAATCGTCATGAAATTCCTTCATGTTTATACAATCCCCACAGCAGAAGTAGACAGAGGGTCTACGAGAGGTAGTTCCATACTCATCTCTGTCTCTAGCATTTCTGATAAGAAGGAAGCTTTAGCTTATACTTACAGGAATCTACGAGAATAAGCAGCTATTTGGGAAAAGATAATAATTTTATGTTTCTCTCTAGACAGTGGTTTTGGGAGAAAATTCACAATTTTATAATTAGTACATTTGATGTTGGAGAAACGGGACATGCAGAGGTAAAAACAGCAAGTTGTGTGCATGTGGGTTTTCAGACCTTCAGGATTCCTTCCACCTGAAGCAAGAAGCCAGCAGAGATTTGATCAAAGTCCAAGAAACTTCCAGAGCACTCAAAAACATGAAGTAAGGCTGCCAACATCCATTTCCTCTCCTTCCTTCCTTCCCTCCCTTCTCCCTTCCTTCATGTTTTGCTGGTTCTGATTTTTTGTTTAGCCAAAACCCAGATACTTGGATTAAAATATAATATTGAACTTGAGCTATCTTTTCATGTCATCAGCCTCCATCCCACCCTTCCTTGGCATCCATATTGTTGTGTATGTTTTCTATTCTGGGCATCACCGGCGAGAGTGGGAGCAGACCCTTGATTTAGCTGTGGCTAGAATTTAGTTAGGATCAGACAGAGCTAGCAAGACACTTTCTAAATGTAGAAGAGACTGATAGTAACCCAAGGAGCTAAGAGCTGGCTATATTTCACCATGTGGACCAGGGAAGCAAAGAAAACTGGTATTCAGTGAGGGAGAACATTGAAGTACATACCAAAGAGAGATAAATATGAAATGGAG